ATTCTGTTGAGGCGTATGTGGACAAGACATTTGGTGTTTGATTCCGCAGGAAGCTAAGTGAGAGGTAAATAATTTGCTTGTAAACTCGCCTCCACCATCACTCTGAAATACCATTATCTTGTGTTCTAATTGATGTTCAACCATTTTTTGAAAATGTAAGAAGGCTGAAAGGAAATCTGATTTCTTTCTCAAGGGGTACATCCAGGTGAATCTCGAGAAATGGTCAACAAAGATAACATAAAAACGAAAACCCTGAGTAGATACAACCGGGGAAGGACCCCAAAGATCGCAATGTACTCTTTCTAAGGGGTTTGTTGCTACAAAATCGGAATCTGAAAAAAGGAGTCTACTACTCTTTCCCAGCTGACAGGCCTCACACAACTGAACAGGGGAATTATTGATAACAATAGCTTTGCTTGAAGATAGACGATGCAGAACATCTTGGTGTGGATGCCCCAGCCTCATGTGCCAAATACCACCATTAGCAGCTTGCTGTCTTGATGAATAGAAGGCCATAAAACTCGGATTCTCCAACACATACAGGTCTTGTTGTCTACTGCCCTTGGTTAGCAGCTGCTTTGTCTGTTTGTCCTTAACCACAACACTATCAGCATCAAACTTAATAGAACAAGGATAATCTGCTGTTAACTTTGACACTGACAGCAACGATTTAGTAATACCAGGACAAACAAGCACATCAGTTAAAGGAAGTTTACCTTGAAGACTAGGCAAAACTGCAGAACCAACATGTGTTATGGGTAACATATCTCCATTACCAACCAAGACTGCATCATCTCCTGTATATGGCTGAGAGTGTTGGAGGTGAGAGGCATGGCCAGTGATGTGAGAGGTAGCTCCTGAATCAGCATACCAGTCGTTTGCAGAGGACCGAGCATGTTCTGAAGCTCTCATAGCAGCAAGAGCTTGATGATAGTCTTCAGCTTGGTAAGAGTGGTCAAATCTCTTGTAGCATTTGTAAGCCGGATGACCAAACTTGTTGCAGATCTGACAAGTTGGTCTTCCTTCAGGAGTAGACGCAGCTCCTCTACCACCACCTTGACTGATTTGTTGAGGAAAGCCACGTCCCTGAGTTGAGTAAGAGCCCCGACCACGAGAACCACCACGGCCTTGTCCTCTTCCACGAGAATAATGACCTCCTCTGTTTGAGTAAAACGCCTGATGAAGAGAAACATCACTTGGGGTCTCATATGTAGAGAGTTTGTCACTAAAGCCGATGAGTTTGAAAACAACGTCGTCAAAACTCGGACCTGGGAAAACCTCCATGGAGTTTTCAATAACAGTGGAGATGGACTCATACTCACGACCAAGTCCTCTTAGAACACCGTAGATCTTCTCTTGCTCAGACAGAGGAGCTCCGATGGAGTCAAGTTGGTCGCAGAGCGACTTTATCTCTGTCAGGTATTGAGCAAGGGTACGTGTCCCCTTTTTGGTGGACTGAATACGACTCTGGAGTTCAAGTTTCCGGATAGGAGAGATCCGGTTGTATTTTTGAGCAAGGTAGAACCAGAGCTCTTGTGATGAGCGAAGTCCATAGACGCTTTTGATGGCATCTTCGGACAAAGAACCCACCAACCAAGCCATGATTCGTTGATCTGTACGAAACCACGTCGCGTATTCTGGATTTGGCACCTCTTCTTCGCCGGTAGCCGTCGTACGAGTAAGCGTAAGCGGAGGACGTGGAGTTGTGCCGTTGACGTGTCCAAGAAGATTCTGACTGTTGAGAAACTGCTCGAACTGGAATTTCCATGATAGGTAATTTGTATCGTTTAGCTTGAGAGTGACACAATGAGTAATCGTTAAAGGAGAGGTATAAGGATCGTCCATGGTTCTGATACCATGAAAGCACAGAGCTTTAAAGAGAGCAAATGAAGAAGATAACTCAGTTTTTGATATTATTCAACTTGTCTTTCTTTACACAATGACGTTCCTTTAAATAGGAAGTCTCAGATACAAGATAAGACCTACACACGTCACTCCTCAAGCTGTCACACCACATGTGGTCAAGGAATCAAATCTGTTATGGAGCTGGATTTGCNTCCTCAAGCTGTCACACCACATGTGGTCAAGGAATCAAATCTGTTATGGAGCTGGATTTGCTCTGCTGTCAAACCCGTACGAAGACTGAGCTTTGACGTCTTTTGTCTCATCTCTGTGTTACCGTTAGACTGCAGAGAGATGGGCTTAGTGGGCTCTGTATATTGGAGTTGAACTTGCGTGGGCTTTGTCTGGCTCATAAATAATACTATGTCGGCATTATATATAAATGATTAGACTATACATTTGGTCAAGAAACTGATTATATATGTTGGACAATATCTTATAAACAACAAAACTGGATATAGTAACATTTTGTTGTTAATTCTTTATGTGTGTCACAGTAAATAAAAGTGGTGGAATAATTCGTCCATATGGAGTTTGATGAGTAGATGTCATATGATGCTTTGTCTATTTATACAGACACCATGTTTTGCTGTATACAACCTAACCAAGATTGCGAAATGTAAAAGAAAACAGATCACTTGCAGTTGCAGCCACCAAAAGTTATTCTCCCATATTAAAAGTCACCCCAAAAAACCGGTCTCATTTATTTGTACCCACGGTATCTCGTGACTCTTGTCGTGTTATTATTAACCTTGTTGTTATATATTTTTTTGTCAATAACCTTGTTCTTTTCAATTCTACAAATTACACGCGAACTTTTATAATTCACATATATTTTTTTGATCAAAATTCACATATAATTCTTTATGGTATAACTTATTCGAGATAATGCAGACAGCTATGGAGATAGTGAGATGTCAAATGAAAACATTAGATTATATGCAGAAAATGGATTTTGGATAACATGCCAAAACGAAAGTTTCTCATTGGTTTGCGCTGAATGTTCAATCGAGTTGTCATACTTAAACCGCCGCCGTTTTATTTGAACTAAGCATATATCTCTTCGTTTCTTATTAAAATAGTATACACATGAAAGCAATCGAAGATACGTGTTGATTTACTACTCTTCGTTTGGTAGTCATGTTTTACAACTACCTCGTCTAGTAAACTCTACAGAAATTGTAAACGAAAGAGAAAGAGATAGAAAAAGACGATACAAACGATGGTATTTTAATGTTGAACGATTCCAACTATGAATCGAGCTCTATCTTATCTTATGCAGATTTTGATTTGAAGTTAACGAGGAAAAACAAATAATTGTAGATGGTTTGAATACCTAAAGCGAAATACTAAACATGTCTACTCAAAGCTTCATTGATTTTAGTACTATACGATACCAAATGTAGCGATTGTCGACGTTTTTTACAACGTCTACCAAAAAACATGGAGTTTAATACTATCCACACAAAAGTTTAATACTATCCAAATTCCTCAAAAAGCAATAGTTTATTCTCTACTGTTTATGATTGCCCGGATTGTGAATAAATAAATAAATATATTTTATATTTACAAACATTACTGAAAACAAAGATACTAAATTAAGATTAACATTGAGGTATTATAATATATTTTATATTTCTAATTAATAATCACTGACCAATATCATAAATTTATATTATAAGAACTTTACCAAAATATATTCTATACTTTTAACTATTAATATTTTCAAAAAAATAATTGTAAATTCTATTCTTAATACTCCTAAAATAAATATTTTATTTGTTAACATATAATTTTATCTAAACTAATAGCTTTAAAATGAATTTATATTTTATAATTATATAATGTATTAATATTGTTAATTTATTAAACTGATGTTGAATTTTTAGTAAACCAATCATAAATATTATGCATCCATTTCTAACCGTTATACTAATCATATAAATTAGTTTGGAACCGTAAACTATCCGCTTTGGTTATGTTGTGTGTGTTAAATCGTTACATTGTGTTTAAACCAGTCGTACTCTTAATATGATTTTTAGGAGAAATGAGTCATTGTGTATTATGATGCTTTCTATTCAAATGATGCATAGTTTGAATTCAAAGATAAATGGTTTGGTCAACAAGCAACCTAAAATATATTCTGGATAACGAAACGTAACTTGATATCAATTGTTAAGCAAAAAAAAAACGTGAAATCAATTGTCAAGGATATATTGGTCTCATAGTGTAATAGATGATGAAAATACATATTCCCTCTATTTCAAAATATTGTATATTTTAGAATTTTTTTTTTTGTTTCAAAATGATTTTTTTTTTACATTTTCAATATATCACTTAATGGTGATTTGTAAAATTTTCAAAATGTTTATTAAAATTCTATTGGTTAAAAGTTTTAGGGAATAGTTAGATACAAAAATAATGTAGTGGTAGTCAAAATTTTATAAATTTTTTTAATATATGTGAAAATTTTAAAACATAAAACAATTTGAAATAGAGGGAGTATGTTTTTACTCGAACAAAAGCATTGTCAAAATATTAGTTTATCTTTTAGAAAATGTTATTGTTAGGAAAAAAAAAAAGGTCAAGATCGACATTAATTATGAATGGTTTGAACATAACATGTGGCTTAATAATTTATAAAAAAAAAAAGATTTGTGTCAATTTAAAATTAAATCTGCATAATACATATTCAATAAAAAGAAGAAGTAAGTATCGTTGTCCGGTTACACATTTGTGCGTGGAATGTTCATATGCAGCTTCACCTGGTCCCGGAGGTGACTTACTGTTCGTTATTGATGAAGCCCCGCTCATATTACTCTCGTCCTTCAACTTTTCTAGTAAACTTGTAATCCATAGAACTTGAAGTGAAGATGACAAGATGTAAAGCATGTTATCGTAACCTATGATGTTTTTTTTTTGAGATCTCATAACCTATGATGTTGAGAAAAAGACATAAGATGATCACAAGATATAAAATGATCATGATCAAGCGAATACATGTCAGAGTAACAATACGTAAAATATATACAAACTTTGCTATTTTTATTATAAAAACCAAAAGATTTCCAAAAACAACGAATAAAAATTAGTATATCTCAAATGGCTAGAAGATACTGAAACTCAAAATCATAAGGGAACTTCTCAACCACCAGAGATGAAGAAGCTTTGGAGTTTTGATTCTTGAAACAGTCCACCATTGATTTTCTCAAGGAACCAGACGTTGGTAATTGGTTGCAAACCCATTTAACGAGAGATCCCATATCAGCCCTTTCCCCAACGAAATCGGCGGCGTGTTTCACCAGAAGCTCCGGCAAGATTACTCGTTTAGCCGCGGTTACCACCACCGAGGCTTGCAGATACTCCATTTTCGATTTCTCTATCTCTGTTGCCGCTCCATCTCCGGTGTATATCCTCACCTTCAGTTTTTAAAATATAAATAATTATCCATTAGCTGTGATAATATAAGAGATCTAAATGATAATGTACACTTTATTATAAATACTAAATCTCTATTTTATTTATCAATGGCTTGATCAAGTTTAAATATACAACACTGCTCAAATGATACTAAAGAATGCTAATTAACATTATAAGTTAGTTTAAGTATAGACATAAACGGTTCATTGTAAATTTATAATAGATTGCTTAACAAAAGTGAATTGACAAGTTTAGCTTACCGCAGGAGAGGATCGAGTTCCGCACGAGAGAGCAAATGTGATGTGAGGATCCATTGTTTCTAGGCCGTATAGTTTATGAATGATCATTTCCTCGTGTCGATCCTATGATTATATATATATGCATGCAGTTAGCAAATACTTAAGATTGATGGACTAATATGAAGATGATCACTGGAATAGTAGATATACCTTACTCATGGTAGAATTTGCAGGCTTCCGTAGAATACAATGCTCTATGGTATGAGCACTAATATTTTTGCCTCCAATATTTACTGTAGCCTATATTTTATACTTTGATTATTTCAAAATTTAATATGTGTGAATAATATGGATTTGGCTTAATCTAGTCTAGTGTTTATTTTAGAAGGGTAAAATGAAAAACATACCTTACTGTAAACAAGAGATTGTAATCTCTCAGTTGTTTTTGGAACTCCATGTTGTAAGTATCCCTGGTCATACACCGAAGCAATGAAAATAAGTTAAGTATTTACATGAATACTTAACTTGCATTGGTAATATAAAAAAAAAATGTAAATGGTTTTGTAATTAAAAAGAAGATAATATAAAGAAGTAAAGTATAGTACATGCATAATACATGCATTGAACATGTTGATCCAAAACGCTAGCTTTTGTTGATGGCTCAACACTCTCAAATCCACTGTCTCGAGATTGTTCATCAACACCCTGTGTTGTTCATAGCTATATATTTAGCCTATGTAAGAAAATGTTAGTTAGGATATGCACATATCCATTTGGTATAGAATAAGTATATTCTCAGTATATTTGTTTACGTAGATCTCTCACGATCTCATTCCCCTTTGTATAAATATATTGACGTGATCAATGGAATGTTATCAAGCCAAATACACTTTCATGGTATCAGAAGCTCTTTGATCCTAAGCTTCCCTAAATCTCTCTCCTTATTCTCTCCTTCTTCTTTTCCTCGCCTCTTTCTTTCTTCTTCTTCTTCTCACCATGGCTGCTCCCATCTACGCCAATCCAACTGATAAACCCTTTGGCATTAGCCAAATTCGAGCATACATCCCAATCATGCTTGATCTTGATAAGATGAATTATGATGTTTGGCGAGAAATCTTTGAGACTCATTGTCTCACCTTCGGAGTTCTTGGTCATCTCGACGGCACCGCTGTCTCTACCCCTGAAACAGAGAAAGTTTGGAAAGAACGTGATGGTCTTGTCAAGATGTGGATCTATGGAACCATTACACCTTCACTCGTTGAAACCATCTTGACTCCCAAAAGTTGTGCTCGTGATCTCTGGATCACACTGGAAAACCTTTTTCGCGACAACAAAGAAAACCGAGCCATTCAATTGGAAAACGAGCTCCGCACCATCACCATCGGAGATCTCACTGTCCAGGAATACTGTCGCAAGCTAAAATCACTTTCTGATCTTCTCGCCAATGTTGAATCACCAGTTACTGATCGCCAGCTTGTGATGCACTGCCTCAACGGTTTAAACGACAAGTTCGACGGCATTCATAACGTCATACGGCACCGGTCTCCGTTCCCAACCTTTCATACAACCAGATCGATGCTCCTGGCCGAGGAAGAGCGTCTCAACAAACACACACGTCCTACTGCCACTCACAATGACACATCATCAGCACCCAACGTTTTGTTTGCGGCGGATAACAACACCAACAACAACAACTCCTCTGGACACTCGAATCACAACAACTCCACCAACCACCGCCAGTACAACAACAACAACAACAACAGAGGAAACTACAACAAAAACCGTTACAACAACAACAACCGAGGAGGTGGACGCGGCAACCGTGGACGCGGTCGCACTAACAACTACAACAACAATGGTCCGCAGCAGTTTGGCTTTCCGCAATGGGGATACAACCAACCTCAATGGCCTTATCAGTTTTTCCCAGGCGGACCATCCATGACACCGTTCACGTCTCCATCGACTCCTCAGGCAGCTCCTCACAACGGAATTCTCGGACCATACGCTCCTCCACAACCTAAACCCGAAGCTCACATCACACATGGAGTCAACGCAATTCCTAGCCATCAGACGATGATTCCTCATGCTCTAGCTCACGCTTTCAACACCATGAGCCTTCAGAATCCCGACGACTCGTCATGGTACATGGACAGCGGAGCCACCAATCACATCACGGCTAACCAAGGTACCCTCACTTCCGTTTTTAATAAGAATATCATTCCCTCTGTCCTTGTAGGTGACGGGTCTCTTGCGCCTGTTACGAAAATGGGTAATACTGTTCTATCTTCTCATTCTAAAGATCTCTCTCTCAAAAATGTGCTTGTTTGCCCTTCTATCATTAAAAATCTAATCTCTGTTCGACAATTTGTCACTGATAATGCTTGTTCTATTGAGTTTGACCCGTTTGGTTTTACTGTCAAGGATCTCATGACCAGGATCAATCTTCTCCGATGTGACAGTCGCGGACCTCTCTATTCTGTGACACCATCCACCAAGTCGCATCATCCTTCTACATTCCTCGCAGATGGCTCTCTCTGGCATCGGCGATTAGGTCATCCAGGCAGCTCAATAAATCGTTCTTTAAGTGCTTTTGGTTTTTCTAATAAAATTGCTGACTTGACAACCTTGTGTCATGCATGCAAAATGGGTAAACACGTTCGTCTTCCTTTTATTTCTTCTTCTTCAGTTGTCACCGAACCATTTCAAATCATACATTCTGATATTTGGACTTCCCCTGTCTCAAGTATCTCGGGCATTAAAGACTATTTGTTATTTATGGATCATTTCTCTCATTATATTTGGGTTTATCCTCTACATCGTAAAAGTGACACGTTTGGCAAGTTTCTTAATTTTTCAGCTTATGTCCAAACTCAATTCAAGAAACCGATCCAAGCCCTTCAATGTGACAACGGTGGCGAATTTACTAGTCGGATATTTCTTGATCATCTGGCCGCCACCGGTACGAGTATTCGTCTCTCCTGCCCTCATACCTCTCAACAAAACGGCAGAGCAGAACGCATGCTTCGTACGATAAACAATCTTGTTCGCACTCTTCTCATTCAAGCGAACATGCCATACAACTTCTGGGTTGAGGCGCTTCACACAGCCGTATACACCCTCAATCTCTTACCCTCCTCTTCGATTGATAATCTTGTTCCATTTACTCGTTTGTTTAATCGTCCTGTTTCTTACTCTCACTTACGTGTTTTTGGCTGTCTTTGTTACTCAAACACTTTCTCTACCTCTGCTCATAAACTTGCACCTCGATCTGTCGCTTGTGTGTTCTTAGGATACCCATCTAACCATCGTGGATACAGGTGTCTTGAGCTCGCAACGCGCAAAATTATCACGTCCCGGCATGTCACTTTCGTCGAGGACACTTTTCCTTTTGCAACTCTCCCTACTCAACAAAGTCCTCCACCCTCTGACCCTTTACCACCATCTCTCATTCCTCCACCCATTCAAATTCCAGCTCCGGTGGTTGGTACTCCTTCACCACCACCTCCTGCTCAAAATAACCACTCCATGGTTACTCGGAGCAAAAGCGGTATTACCAAACCTCGTGTTCCTCTCTGCCTTCATACCGAGGTCATTTCTCCTCTTCCTCTCTCTCATGTTCAGGCACTAAGAGACCCTAACTGGAACAAGTCTGTACATGAGGAGCATGATGCTCATATTAAACGCGGAACGTGGGTACTTGTACCACGCCCTCCGAACACTAACATTATTCGTTCTATGTGGTTGTATCGTCATAAGTTTAATGCAGATGGGACACATAAGCGATACAAGTCCAGACTCGTCGCTAATGGGAAGTCTCAACGGATCGGCATTGACTGTTCAGAGACATTCAGCCCCGTGATCAAACCTGCTACGATTCGTACCGTGCTCCATGTCGCTGTCTCTCATAACTGGCCCCTAAGACAACTTGACGTCAAAAACGCGTTTCTACATGGCGATCTCGAAGAAACCGTATACATGCATCAACCACCAGGCTTCGTCGACAAATCCAAACCAAACCATGTATGTCTTCTCAAGAAATCCATCTATGGTCTCAAGCAAGCGCCACGCACTTGGTATACTCGCTTTGCCACTGTCGCCAAGCAACTCGGATTTCGTCAAAGCCGGTCTGATCCATCCCTGTTCGTGCTCATTCGCGGCTCCACCAAGGCTTACATCTTACTATATGTCGACGATATCATCCTTACAGGCTCTACATCAGCTCTGGTTGAATCCATCATCTCTGCTCTCTCCGCAAAATTTGATCTATCCGATCTCGGGCGTCTTCACCATTTCCTGGGTATTGCAGTCACTTTCAACGACTCCGGTTTGCTCCTCAGTCAACACAATTATGCTGCTGATATCCTTCACCGTGCCTCCATGACAAATTGCAAGACGTCTCTCACTCCAGTGGACACAAAATCGAAACTCACTGCCGATGATGGACCTCCGGTTGCAGACCCGTCTCTCTATCGCAGTCTTGCTGGTGCTCTCCAATACTTGACTTTCACTCGCCCTGACATCTCATACGCAGTTCAACAGATATGCCTTTTCATGCACGATCCTCGAGAGCCACACTTTACAGCCTTGAAACGTATTCTCCGGTACATCAAAGGCACCATCGATCATGGCCTACAGATCACCAAATCCTCTATCACTAATCTGGTTGCTTACTCTGATGCCGACTGGGCCGGATGCCCTGACACACGACGCTCCACATCTGGCTTTTGTGTATTTCTCGGCGACAGCCTCATCTCATGGTCCTCCAAACGTCAGAACACCGTCTCTCGTTCTAGCGCAGAGGCCGAGTACAGAGGAGTTGCTAATGCAGTTGCTGAGACCACTTGGTTACGTAATCTATTTCTGGACCTCGGGATCACACTGTCAAAGGCTACGATAATCTACTGCGACAACATCTCTGCAGTCTATCTCTCGTCTAATCCTGTTCAGCATCAACGAACAAAGCACATTGAGATTGATATACACTTTGTTCGGGAACGCGTTTCACTTGGTCATGTTCGTGTCTTACATGTTCCAACTCACTTACAATACGCTGACATCTTCACTAAGGGACTACCTTCACCATTGTTCACAACATTTCGTTCCAGTCTGAGCGTTCGACGACCATCGCTCCGACTGCGGGGGGGTGTTAGTTAGGATATGCACATATCCATTTGGTATAGAATAAGTATATTCTCAGTATATTTGTTTACGTAGATCTCTCACGATCTCATTCCCCTTTGTATAAATATATTGACGTGATCAATGGAATGTTATCAAGCCAAATACACTTTCAGAAAAAACATTTTAGTTAAGTTTTTCTCGAATTGTACCTGAGTTTCCGGATCAAAGAAACTGAGCTAAAGCTCGAAATGCACTTGGAATCCATAGAACTTGAAGTGAAGATGACGAGATTCTTGTAAGGACCAATGTCTCTAGCCAAAGATGCTTCTACATCAAATATTCCATAGGGATCTTGTTGTCTTGATTCTTTACAAGACACAAGATTCATGGATTTAGACAAGCCGGAGGTTGCGTTGTCCACCCTAAAGCTTCTTGAGCTTCTCGAGACAGGACCCGATTTGTCTAGCTCCATGACTCTTGTGGTTCTGAGGAGACGAACGTAGATGAAATTGAGACACTTCATGATGTCCTCAGCGAGCTTGTTTGGGTGCCATTTCTGTATGTTCTGTCCATCTTCCATTAAAATTGTGCTTGATAGAGATTTTGGTGGAAGGTCTAGTGATGTATCAAGTGCTACACGATCCTTATTAGTAGGCTACAATAACACATCATAATTAAGCATATGGTAAGAGTAAACTAAAGGAACTAAATGATGCATGATTTTAAGAATATATATAAAACACACCTTGGGAGAGGAGTATTTAGGTTCACGTAGAGGCGAAGGCGATTTCATCGTCCTAATCATCTTCTTCGTATTCGTATTCTCTTGCAACTTAGACCGATGATTATCCTTCTCGACTAATCCAACTTTCTCATTAGATTTGTGGAAGCTTTCGGTCGGGTAATCACCTTTTATGGCTTTGTTGATGAAATGTAATGTCCTTGTTTCAAATGTTGCATTCTCTTGATGATGACTAGATGCAGATTTGGTGTTGTTGTTTTCATTCTTCATCATGCATTTGTTCACCATAGGGCCTGGAGGCGGGAAATTAGGGTGTTTTGGTAATTCCTGAGCTTGATGAGAGGTTATGTCGTCGTTATTGTAACTCTCACAAGCTTGCCATGCTTTTCTTGATGAACTTGTTGTTGCGTGTCTCAAGGTTTCATCTTGTTCTTGCTTGAGATTTATCTGGAGATGGCTTATTTGAATCTCCAGTTTTGAGATTTCCCCTTCCACTAGCGATAGTTCCGTTATTAGTTCCTTCATCTGCATTATAAAGTAGTGTAAGGTAACTTATTTAAATGTTCTGCTGCTAATAAAATGTTATAGGTTTTTTTTTTTCTCATAACAAATGGTAGTTACTACTTCAGAAATGATAATAAACTAGAGTTTCACCCGCACATCCGTGTGGGTATATTTTTTATTGTATAAATATATAAATATTTTTTTTAAATATATGATATATATTTCAGTTTTAATTATAATTATATCTAATAACGAATAAAGAAATACTTATTTTATAAAAAAATATTTAAATTTTTTGGTAAGATCTTGTTATATTTAAATTTATTTATTATCAATATCCTTATTAATTGTTAAAATATTTTGAAAATATATATTTGACTTGTTAGTGTAACAATCAAATATGTCAAATTAAATAATTAATAATATGGTCCAACATGACTTTTAAATAGTAGATAAATTTGGTATTTCTCTTTTAATAGAGAAGATTATTTATACACAACTTTTAGTTATTGAAACATTTAGTTAGTATGTTAATGAATAAACATTATCAAAAACATCCAAGACATAAATTACTACAAAACTAGGAAAATATGTATTTAAGATGTTTAACGGTAACTATATCATTTTGACTACCTTATGGCAGAAACCTAATTATAGATAAGTCTTTGATTGCATAGAACCTCACAACATATCTTTTCTTAATAACGGTTAAATATTATGATTATGCCTATTGTCCTGAAGGGGATCTAACTAGTTTGTTTGATTCAGAACTATTAATTTATAATTGTATTGTATATTTGGTTGGCCTGAGCCTTGGGTTAAAAGCAACGTTACCGAAAATACGTGTGTGATAGTTTATAATCATTACATATCATAGTTTTGCTGCATTCTCACTCTATCCAAACTTGGAAAACTTTACTTGCTCTGCCGCATGTATATTAATATACAAATGTGTATATGGAGAAACATGTATCTCTTAAAAATAGGTACCTTGGGAGGGAGAGAAGCAGGAAGAGTAACGGAAGAAGAAGAAGGAAGTTCATGTTTTTGGATTCTCTCCAATATCTCACGTGTCTTTTCTTCTTGATCCAGCATCTCCCTTAACATCCCCACCTAACATTATAAATTAATTCTTTTTCTAATTATCAGTTAATAAATTCAGTAATAATAATCGCAGCATAAGTGAAAAACAACTCTGCGCTTTTAATAAACGATACAGCGTTAAACTGCTAGGGAAGTTTATCTTGCAAATGTAGAAATACCACAACTTGTCTTATTTTGTCTGCTTATTTATGATCAGATGGCCATTCATGGGACATATTTTATTTTCATAAAAACAGTTCCGAAAATAATATTGAACCGGAAACGTTCTTAGACACATACAATACCTTGATCTATGTATATATTAGCATGTAGATTTACAACAACATCCCTTGGTGTTTGCCTAGACATAAGCATAAATATGCAAACCGCTTTAAAGTGGATTCCCATACCTCTTTCTCTATTTCTTCCTTTTTCTGCTGCCCATTTGGTCTTTTCGTCCTCTATAAACACCAAAATTTTCCAAGAAAAAAAACAATAATCCAATAAGCGAAAACATACAATAATTTGTTTATAATTGTTTTCACATGACATGGAATCATGCAGAAACGATTATGGATCAGATTAATGTGTTGAGGTTTATGACTGTTTATATAAACTCTATTAATTAATTAGAGGTTTCAGGTTTATGACTGTTTATATATAAACTCTATTAATTAATTAGAGGTTTCACCATAATTAACTCGAATATATAGGTTTATGCTAACGACAAAATTTTTAATTCATATATTTAATCTGAGTTGTATGCAAACAATTCACTAATTTTGACCTTTCAAATGACAAGAAACAAGAATCACAACAAAATAAAACTTACAACACTATGAGGGACATTGAAGGGAGAGATAGAGCGAGGGAGAGTTTTGGTGGGCATGGCTAAGATGGATATTGGAGCAGTCGTCCTCGGGACTAGACCACCGAGATGAAGATGGAGCAGTGAGGCAGAAGATTGGCTGAGACCAGGAGGGAGGTAATGGTACTGACTAATGAAGAAGGTTAATAGAAGGAGAATGAAACATTTAGCTAGGTTGGCTTAGGCTTCAAGATGAAGAAGAGAGCGACCGATGGTGATCGGTTTGGTGAAGGAAGACGAGAAGCAGTTTTCGTAGCTGATGCTCTTAACCGTCCTTGAGAGGGAGTGGTGCGTAGTGTGATATTATTTTAATAATGATTTTCTCATTTTAATATTTTCTTTTAATATTCGGTTTACTGTACAAGGGGAGGGTTGACAAATACAAGGGAGGGATTATAATTTTAGGCTCACCAATCATTATGAACAATTTCTATATTTGTAGTTGTAGAATTAATGTGGAATCAAAAGAAGAATATTTTAATTTCCATTTCCATGTTTGTATAGAAGAATAATCAATGCATCCCTTGTGTTGTTTTTTTTTTCCATCTATATTTTATTAAACGGGCAAAAGCCCAAAGTACAACCTTACAAAACCCACACCTTGTGTTGTTTATAAAATGCCTTTCTACACTGTGTAATGTATATTACCAGAATTTGTTTGTATTAAATGATATCACGGTATCGTGGCCATTAAAATTTTCCCATTTTTTTTTATAATTTTCTTGATATTGTGAATATTAGATTGATGTTCCTAAACTTTAAAATATTATGTGGAAGCCCTCTTCGGCTCTTAGTCTAGTGGTTTGACTGAGAGTTCATTAATGTTTCTACATTAGGAGGTCCAAATTTCAATCCCCGGCGAAAGCGATTGAATCTTCAAAGAACGGCTCAGGTGATGCAGTTAGGTGTAGATCATCATAAGACAAGTATTTCAATCCTCGGTGAAAGCGATTTATTAAACAATTATGCAGGCTACGAATGAAATACTTACAAGGGATCTTCAACATGGTGTAAGTAAACTCGACAAGGTGTGAATCTTCAAAGGACGGCTCAGGTGATGCAATTAGGTGTAGATCATCATAAGACAAGTAGTATTGTCGGTTGTCGAATCGTCTATTTAATTTTTATCATAATTGTAATATCATAATAAATCAGTGTTAAAAAAACTTTAAAATATTATAGATATGATGACTGCTGACATGAAAATATATAATAACAAAACTAAAAACCCTAGTTTCTCTTAAAAGAGACGTGCGCTGCCTAGGTCTTCTCCGCCCAGATTTGTTGTCTTCCAGGATCTGATGTTCATCACCTGCTCTGGAGAGGCTTCTTCGTATTTCTTTTTGTTTGTGTTCTCGTTTTCGAATGTGTGGTGTGTTTGTTGTGGAGATTTCTCGATTTTCTCTTCGTACCGTTGCTTTGATTTGTGGTTCTGTTGTAGTAATGGTTGGTTTAGAGTTGGTTTATCCATTTTGCGGAGCCTTAGTGATGCATTAAGAGCCTTCTCAACGGGTTATTACATGGTTAGACTATGTATTCCAGGATTGGTATATCTCGTGCATGTTTGGCTTGATAGTCATTGACGCTCTGTTCCTAGATACTCCTACTTATCATGTTCTCCTCAAGTAGTTGGTGTTTCGTGTTTGTCAAGGTCTCGTTGTTGGGGTTCGGCTTTTGGATGGTATACAACTGTGGAGCCATCTACTTGCTTCTTCTCTGTGACTAGTTGCGGAGTGAAGTATTAAGATGAAGCAGTGGTTTCGATTTTCAGCTCATCTCTTGCGAGGATGTGACTATCCTCTTGCTTGTAGATGGTGGAGTATGGGTACACGAGCGTCCACGTGTATGAGCTGCTGATCCTTTTAGTCGTTTTTCCCTCTTCTTGTTTCAAAGTTCGACTTTATGCCTTGGTCTCTCTCGTCGCTGGCGCCTTGCTGCAGACGTCGTGTTAGTGGTGATTGGTTTTGTGCCTGCTTCAGTCTGGCGCTAGTTTCGGCCTATGTTGGTTTGCGGTCTACCCAAATATATGTTTTGTTCTTATGGTTTTAGCCCGTGCTTTCTCTGGTTCTATGGAAACTTGTGTTGGACTGTTGTCTGTGTAAAACTTGTTTTTTTGTTCTGATGGGAAACACTATTTTGGTTCCTCAGTGTTGTGTTAATGTCCTCTTGGTATGACTTTTTAGTGTTGTTTAAGGTTGTTTCTTTTCTTAAAGTCTGTAACTATTGTACCTCGACTTTCGCTTAATGCAATTCATATATGATAAAAAAAAATATTTTATTAATGCTGAGATTGGTCATTACAGTATTAGGAGGGTTATTCGAAAATAAATTTTCATTAACTTTGGAAATTTTGAAATTTTCTTATTATTGGTTCATGGATTTTAAAACTCTTAGTAAATCCACTGTTATTGGTTTAAGAATTTTCAAAATCTATTCAAATCCCTTGTTATTCAAAAAGTCTAGTCATTATTGTTTCTTTAATTTTAACTAAATCTTGTGTTATTGGGAGATGAATTCTTTATCTTTTTACACATAAGACACAACTTTATCATATGTATCTAAGAGATTTTCAAAACTCATGTGATTAAAATATCTAGAAAAAAATAATTATTCTTACCAAATATATATTTCACATTTGATCCAAATTATATGTCCACAATTATAATTCATTACATTTTTATTTACTTACCTTTTAATATATAATTATATTTTTATTTTGTTTAAAAAATAAAAAATAAAATAATATATAAATTACTAAAACAGACATAATATAGTTAAAAAATTTATTATGATATTCATCTTATCATAATAACATTCATTTATGTATAATTATTATTATTTTTAGAAAACAAATATGTTTTATAAAAATTAATAAAAATCTATTGTAATCTAGAAAAGGAAAAATAGAAAAAAGGTAATACAAATTAATGAAAATCTATTGCAATCTGGAAAAATTGATCAAATTTTGTAAATCAACATATATATTTTTTCATAAGACACATAACTTTATAAATCTATATCAATTTTTAAAATTCACAACCTCTATACAAATTCATCTCCTAATAACCCCACCCCCTAGGCTAATTATCCAAAGGCGTCATTTATCATCTTATTGGGCTTGAAGATGAATGAGCCCATAATAGAAATGGCCGATCAAAGTCTTTGCCATTTAGTTTCTTAAAAGATATCTCTGACCCCGTGAGGCGTGAGACGACCGAAGCTAACTCCGAACCCAAACTATTTCCCGGTTCAATGCATGTGGCGGTTATAGGTGGTTTAATATCCGATCAAATCTGGTCTGAAATTGAGTGGTTTAATTGCCAATTTTATGGAAGAACCACCTCGCTAAAACCCTCCCTCCAACTTTCTCGGCATCATCCTCCGCCGGAACAGTGTGTGTGATTTGTATATTTCTTTGTGATAATTCAGGAAAAAAAAGATTCTATCTTTGTGTCCAATTTGGAGTGATGTCTTGGCTTTTAGATTCTCTACGTACTTATGTTTGTGCTCTGCTGACTATGATTTGGTTTCTCGCTTATGCTGTGTAGAGAGATCATTGGCTCTCCTCCACCGATGTTACAAAAGGACTAGCCGGGTTTGCTATCCTACACCGTTGCCTCTCCATGTTCCGTCCACTTCCAACTTGTTACCTTCGATGTTGTTGCATAGCTTATTGAATGGCTTTGTGTTCGTGGAATTGATGCGATGATGATGATGACTATATCAAATGTAGGTGTCTGTTTTATCTTATTATCCTTGTAATTGATTCATGATATCTTAGTTTTTTTTTTTATAACTAAATGGAAACTTCAATTGTGAAAATAAAAGAAAATTGTCTAAAGGGAAAAAAACGAAATGGGAAGATATTCAAAAACATAAAAGTTTAGCACTTCTAAATCAAATATAAAAAGAAACACCGTACTGAAATATTATATAACTTAAGAAAGTTAGATGATTGATTCAAAAGAGATAAAGATTAAACTGGTTATACTTTGATTTCGTCTTTTCAAGCTTTGTAAACGATTGGACTAAGCTTCCATCTTGATATATGAAGCATCTCTTATGAAAACGACATCACATTGTATATATATTTATGCAAGATGTGAATCAAGTAAAAAGAAAAACATGAAGTGCATGCCTTGGAATTTCTAAGTCTTATCATTATCTCAGTTCCAAGGTGGTGATACGAATTATCTGGCCCTTGAGCTCAATTAAGGCCAACTAATCCTTTCTTCAACCTATAAATCCATTACTAATTAATAATGACAAACACAAATCCATTGCTGCTAGCTCCTTTTCTATTTAAAATTCCACTTACTGTTAAAACTTGGATATTTAAATAACTTTGCCAAATCTTTGCTTCCTCTTATCTATATATAGAAATCCGAGTTGTATATGTGTCATACTTATGTGGAATGGAGCTTATATATTATTCTTTATATAACACTTTATTTAATCCATAGTTATAAATTTTTGTTTTGAAATAAAATATTAAAATAACTTGGTCTTACCTGTTTCCACTTAGTCCAAATCAGATTTTGATTAATTATAAATACCACGTTATGGTAGAAGTTTACTTTTGGCTGCTTATCTATTTGTTTATTTGCACATCTCCTTAAGACTAATGCAAGAAGTGAGTTCAACCTAAAATGCATATTAAAAAAATTAGCTTAGAGAGACCCGGGCCTAACATCTCCTCGATATGGGAATGTCTAATTTTTGTCCGCCGAAGCCATCGCAGTCAAATCAGCCACATTAACTTGGTCAACATATTCCGGGGTCAAGCCTCCGATCCGTGAGTAATTTGTATACATGGTTGGTTTTATATATGTGTTGGTTCATAGTTGGTTAACTAAAGCCCCCACTCACATGTAAATATATACTATAAGACGAATATATAGATTTATCCTGATTATGATACTCTCTAAATTCATAAAGTTGCATGCCTAGAGCGATATTTGTAGATAGTGACCAAAGATATAAAATAAGCGAGACTGATTGTATTCTCACTCGGCTGCTTATCAATTGAGTGTGTATCACACCAAAATATCGAATCAGTTATTACTATTTTATAGATAAAGTTAGGTTATCGATATCATAAGTTACTAGAGAATCTACAAAATTAATTTATAGCAAAAGGTTTGACAATTTTGTAAGTTTCAATTCTAAATGCATATACTTTTTAATACTGATTAATTATACTAGAGAAATTCCATAAATTTATCTAACTTAATTTCGTTAAATCTTTTAATACCTAATATTTTTTTTGTTACCTAGTTTAATACATCAATTTAGCGCCAAAGCTGATCA